AGTTTTTATTCATTTCTCCAGTGTTATTCTTTGTTGATTGTTTACATAAAGTTCTTATATATTACATCATTTTCCTTTCGGATCTCTCTACTGAAACTATGTATATACAGTTGGATTTCTCTACTTTAACTACAGTACAATTCTACCGTACACTCTTTTGTATTCTGTTATCTTAGCTCTTTATATACATTTTCTTCTAACGATCGCATATAATATATTGCTGCATGATCCTTTGACTTTTTAACACACTTCTTAAGACAGATCACTTCTTTTCCTACCATTTTGCATATCATACATTGTTTAAACCTCCCTGTTAATTGTTGTGCGAATTGCGAATTTTTTTCTATTCACCTGCCACTTGATTCAAGATTTAAACGTCTTCAGTTTTAATCTTTTAATGTTTTGCACCTTCATTTAATATCTCTGAACCTTCTATCCTAGTTACTAGTAGTACTGGTTCTTTAAATACCGTTTGTCTATGAGATCTCATATGATACAATGAGAGAAACACTGATACACTTCATGTCAGAGACTGTTCCGAGCCATTGTTTGTGTACTCCTTCATAATATTATTCATTATTGCCATTGTACCGAGAGAAGCTCATGTTAACCATGGTAACTGTCCAAGCTCATGGTTTGGTATAATGAGTGCAGACTGCAGAGCGTTAGTTAGTTACAGTGTTTATTAATTAAGAACACGGACGTGTAATCTCAGCTACTAATATTATGAAGGAGTATCTCAGCCACTTATACAATTCAGTTGCAGCTGACCAATTAAATCATTCTGTATTTCTATGTAGCATTACTACTAGCACTACTAGTAGTAGTATAGTAGCAGTTAGTAGTAGTAGTGAGTATTACGGCTGTGAAACGGATTTTATTGGTACTTAAGCACGAATTTGTGCTATTTCTAATTATAAGTATGGCTCTAATACTAATAGAATATAATTTGTCTGGCAGTTTACTAGAGTGGAGGGTTTTTTACGCTTCTTTTATTAATATTATTGAACCTCCACTGAATACCAGCGTTTTAATAATTAAAGACTAATATTATGAAGGAGTATATTAAAGACTAACTGTAGCATAAACTGTATAAAATGCTTGCTGTATAAAATGCTTGCCGATAAAACAGTCGTGAAAGAAAATATCGTGAGTATAAATATTATATAACATATAATGTTAAATTAAAATATTTAGTGTATGGTTTTCACTTATAGTTATACATTTTATATTGCGAATAATTGTGTACATTCTTAAGGTTACTGGTAAGATTCAAGGTCCGCTATCACTATTATTATAATTATTCAACTAGGCAGTGTTAATTTCTTATAAATATGGAACAGGTTTAATGCAATAGTATTCAAGATGACTCTCTAAGTTTGTATCAGACAGCAATATAAACACCAGACCAGCTGTAATAAATATCGAGGTGTGACTGTGATAAAGAGCTGGTCACAGGTCACTAGTTATTTGTTTACATTTTTTACATAAGATTACTGTTATTAGAGTAGCTTAACAGCATGGTCGGTGGTCCACACAAATTTAGTGTTTAAATTAAATTGACAATAGCCGGGTGCCGCGTGGTCGACTAGTGCCGCGCAGTCGGGTGCCGCGTAGCCGGGTGCCGCTTGGTCGGGTGCCGCGTGGTCGGCCGGGTGCCGCGTAGTCAGGTGCCGCATGGTTGGGTGCCGCGTAGTCGGGCGCCGCATGGCCGGTTGGGTGCCGCGTGGTCGGGTGCCGCGTAGTCGGGCGCCAATAGAGCTCTTTAGAGCATCAGACCAGAGCCCTCGTACGTCGCATGAAAACAATTACGTCAGAATGATTTGTCTGATCCAAGAGAGGGAGAGGTACTATCTCTGACATGTGAGAGATAGAAAGAGAGGGAGGGAGTAAGTATTTTACCTATGATTATGTTAATGTATGTTCAAAATGAGCAGATTCGGTCTATAATCTATAATCCATAATCCAAGATTATCCGGATCTTTTCACCACTTTTACTTATACCCTCTTTCAACCGTTTTGTGTCTTTGGAGTAGTGTTTTCTTTGCCTCTTACCTACTTGAATAAACTTTAACTTAATAACAAGTCCGCAATATTTGTTACAACACATTGAACTATAATAACTTTACCACTCGACTAAGGGGTGCCTCTGTAGAGTCTGTACAGCAGGTGCGATAATTTGGAGCTTCAGTTTGGTGCCAGCAGTGTATCTTGAAGACAATAGGCACGAATAGTACTCAGTACATAAATAGTGATAAAAAGTGCACACTCAACTATGCACCTTGCATCCAGTATCAGCAAGGCTATTGTTTCTTAATCTTAGTGCTTTGCAGGTCATGTGGGCTGTTGTATTATGTAACAGCATTATGGTGAGTTCAGTAGACGCCCCTTTATACATTATATACTTTAAACCCTGTGAGTAATGGCTTTTAGTTCAAACCACACGTTCACCAATATACTATTTTCTAAGATCGTCACTTTCCAGACTGGTGCAATCCTATAAGCGGATACGCCTTAATATATAACACCCGGCAACAAATATAGTGATTCTAACCACAATTAAATCGTTAATTGCCGATTAAACTTATAGTTGATTCTAAAGCCGAGAGGCCTTGCACCGCAAAGTTTGTCGGCTATATTCCCTTATTCTTAAACTTCAAGGAAAGTAATAACATAATCTTCCATACTATGCAACGGGTCAAACAATACTACGCCACAAGGAAACGATTTAAAATAGCATTCTAGAGACTAGAGAGCCGCTTCCTTACTTTCCTACTCCTAGAGTGTTATGTGCTTTCAGTTTCAAGACATATTTAGAATAGTCATACGATTAGCACTTGGCACAAAGCCAACATTTTTTTCAGTTTTAATCAGATTGTTTTAGGTTCCTGATATGATTAACGGTACGCTTATATGTTAGTATGTTGCCTCTGTTTGTGACAGGGACAAAAGGAAATCGCAGCATGTACGAAATCGCGGTATCGCGGTATCGTGGTTTTTGGCCAAAATAATCGCGATTTTATTTTGTCCCTAGTTTGTGAGCTGTTCCTTACCATCATGTTCAATTTCATATCATAGTCTATATAAGGGGAACCTCTTCTTGATTCATTGTCTTGACACCATGTAGCTAGCTAGCCTAAATGAAGAGACCAGTAGTAGGAGAAGGTGGGGGGGGGGGTCCCATCTCCAAGAAGAGAAGACCAGTGTCCTGGCAAATCAAAGGTAGGTTCAGCAGGAAATCTAATCCACTATCAGCGGCAAATGCCTGTGATACCCACAGTAGTCAGTACCCATACGTTGGCCATTCTATCTCAATCGAGTTTTTTATACCGATATTTGAAGGTTTATATTGTTGTGTACTAATAGTTTAATATTTGCTGGAGTTATTGAGTATCTTGAATGTAACGAGACAATATTTGTTAAAGGATCACCAACTGCACGACGTCACAATCCATTGTATGCCATCTTGTCCGGCAAATGTAATAGATTTGTTGTAATTAGTTTAAAAGGTTTAAAAGGTCAGGGTCATGTCCATCATTGTATATTTTTCCATGTAGAGTGATGATAATTTGTAGACATTAGCGATGATGTTATGTCATAGTTTTTTATTGCGTATCTTGAATGTAATAATACAATATTTGTTAAAGGATCACCAACTGCACGACGTCACAATCCATTGTCGGCCATCTTGTCCGGCAAATGTAATTAGTTTAAAAGGTTTAAAAGGTTAGGTTTATGCCCATCATCGGTCAAGTTTTATATATCATGTGGTCAAGTTTTAGGAAAGATAGATTTTTTTGCTTGTTGACATCCTGGTTAACAAGGATAAACTTAAAGAAAACGTGATATCTGGCTTTTAGTTTTTAAGGAATATGCGCGATTTGTTGCAAGAAACTAAGAAAATCACAATTTGTCGCGGAGAATGGGGGAAATAGCGGTCCCGTACAAACCTTGATTAACTTTTGTCCTTGATTCTGACACGTGCCAGCCTTAAACCAACCAGCTTCCGTTATTGACCGATCAAACACAAGAGAGAATCTCACGTATCAAAAAACGTGCTTCACAATTACTCAATTAATATCGTTACAATTAGGTAGTATTTCCATAGTTTTCTAGGTCTACACTGTAAGTGGTGTGATTTATGTTCTTTTTGATTAAATGTTAGCTCTTGTAAGGAATGGGGCTTTTCATTCATTATTGTTTTCATTCATTATTCTCTTCATCATTGATATTCTTGATCTATCATGTTTGTAAGTGGCCCTTGCCGGTATATTTACCATGTGTTTCTTCAACTCATCGTATGTATTATTCTTCTTAAATACTAATAGTACAGATACATATTTAAAACAAACAATCTAACTTTTGATATTAAATTTATTCAATTATTTAATTAATTAACTAATTTCGGTAGAGCGGTTGGTTATATATAGCCTGATATTAGAACGGCACAAATCAGTATATTGTTATTAGGCTTTATAAGTAATTCTCTATTGTGGTGAGCTCTGGGCTTTATGGCTACTTTAAGAAATCGAAGATTCCAAGTTCCTTTAATGTCACTGGGGTTTAGTTATGTGACCTTAAAATTTGATTCAAAATTTCCATGGTACTGTATATTAAATAAAAAATGGCAAATATTGATATGATATAATTGAAAAAAATGGAGGAAAAATGTTCGCCGCGAAAACTAAGTTTCGCCCAAGTTCGGATTTTGAGAAAAATATGCGCCCTGAAAACGTTTACGGTATTCAAGCTGTTGTGGATTGATTAACTCTATCAATGATCTAATTCGAATAAAATTATTTAGTCTAGCATCAGTGAAAAATCTATAAAGTTGAATGATTGGATTATCGTTTTTTCCTGCAGCTTGACCGTCGAACAAATAAATACGACAATCGGAACGTAAAATATTGCTGATCGATTTCTGCAATTCTGATTTATTTGCTTTATTACAGTTCTTTTAAATTGTACTGCACTATAAAACTAGTGACTGTACCTGAAATAGCAATCATGGTAACTTGACAGAAACTGAGAGATTCGAGAAATCAGAGAAAGTGAGAGATGTGGGCTGTTCTCCTGCTTCAGTCTCTTGGAATATTGATTATATGTCCGGTTCCAGGAATTAACGCGTCCAACCAGTCAGAAGTCGGAACTTTTGGTGGCGTGATCTCAGGTCCGTAGAGTTTTACAGTTTTTATCATTATTCGTTGTTTTGTAAATAAATCGTTTTCTTAATCAATTTTTTCTCAATCGATTGTTTTATTAATTAATGTTTTCGTTAATAAAACATTTTCTTAATCAACAGATAACTGGAACTTGGTGGTACGTGACATGTTCATCACAGCTGACGTGGAGAGTTCGTTTCTTCGCCTTAAAACTGGTCCTGGCTCCAAAACAACAATCTACTTTTACAACGAGGAGGAGAAAACAGCTGGAGGTTTTGTAGTTAAGTTCTACACCTCCTCCGCAAAGTATAAACTGCGGTACTGCCAGGATAACTACATGCCCCTCCTGCTACCTGCACAGTCGGATAAACAGTGGAGAATAGAGAAACGTGGGTTCAGGTTCAAGGTATTTTGTAACGGACAGCTGGTGCTGGATAAAACTACTTCAAATGTCACATGTGATGATCCCGGACGCAAGGATACCTGGTCAAACTACTGGGGACGAGAAGTCAGGAAAATAAAGTTCCCGTCTAAGTCAGATTTTTCATCTACCCATTATTTCATAGGTTAGTTTTTGTTAAGTCATTGTAATGGCGTCAAGATTTTGAATAGTTAATACCCTATCAGAAGATATATTAATAGTTGGGTTTGAACTGTAAGTGTAATATAAAGAATGACGCATCAAAACGGAAGACAGTTTAAGGGGACACACACATAAACATTTTTGCCGGGACCCGGAATCTGACTTCATATTATATAAGTATAGATTACAAAGTTGTAAGATTTGAGGCATCGAAAAATTAATTTGAGAGTACGCAAATTCGAAACAAAAATTTTCTTTTTCGAAAGTTTTCAATTTCCCCCTGCAGGGGGGGGGGGGGAACGTTATTTCTTTTATTTTTGAAGTTAGGCCCTGGCCAGTAAGGTTTTCTGGGAGTTTAAAAAGTCTAACTATGACCCGATACTAAATATGCACTGATTTTTCAGAGCACCGCTGGAAATTTGAGAAAGCAGCTTTAACGAGGCTGGAGAACGGAACAATGATGAAGAATAATAACGAGGGTCTCCTGTTTGTGACTGTAAAAAGCAAGGAAACTGGAGCTGAGAGAGAAGGAACTGTTTGTGCTGATGAGTTCAACTGGTATTCAGCACAGAGGTTCTGCTGGTCCATGGGGCATCTCTTCGCTGAATGGGGTAGCTACAAGAAGAACATTCATAACATACCAGAGTAAGTATTTCACTATTTTGGTTGTTGAAGAATTGTTTACTAGGATATATCTAATCAGTAAAACTTCCATTAAAACAATGGCGAATTTGCAATAAATTCACGGCAGTAAAAGTTGACATTATGCTCAGATATTGGCTGAATAAAACAGACGTTCCAATTGTGATGGACGACGTGAGCTGCAGAGAGAGAGACACTGAAGTTTCAATGTGCAGTGCTAGGATCTTGCAGCACAACTGCCAATACAAGGATAATATTTGGCTCAGATGTTTCAATGAAACAGGTATAATCCCCATCTAGCTGTGACTATTAGGCATATCATCTTATCTAGTGCTAATTCAATATCTTTTTAATGTCCGATTAACAGTTGATGATTTTTTTTCAAATTTCCGAGTTTTAGTAACGTAATGATAAAAATAAATTAACCATTTTGTCACATTGCACTTTGCAGGATGTATTGATAAAAGTTGGACGAACTCCGGTAAAAAGTGCACCATAACAATCATAGGTGGATTTTTCAAGCACCTGTGCTTTAATGAGATAGAAAAGAAATACTACCACATGTGTGTATCTTCTGAGGTATCGTATGAGCAAAACGCCGCATTTGACATTGGAACTGGTAGTTACGCTCTCTCCAAAGTGTCGTCTGTGTGTGAGAATGACCCTAACGGTTACCAGGCGTGTGGGTTCAGCACCAAGGTGACTAAGAACTCTAGCTACCTGTGTGGAGGATACTTCACTGTTTCTTCTAGTAGTAGTAGTAGTGGTGCTTCTTCTGTTCCTGGAGGGGGACGGTTTGTGGATTGTGAGAAAACAGAAGATGGTTTTTGTGAAAAAACTTCGGTCAGTCTTCCAAGTAACAACACGTGCAATGACAGATGTGATGACCTGGCTAGATGGTGTATGGACGAAGGCAAGTGTAATGGGTTTCAGTATGGAATCCATACTTGCAGCGTCTTTATTCCTAACACCTACATTTGCACTGGCAGTGTCAGCTCCCAATGCTCACATAACGATGACGAAATAGGCTGTGAAGTAGACGACAACACACCGCACACCTGTGTACAATACTACATGAAACTGTATTGGGGGGTTGAGAGACAGGTTCCTATCTTCAACAACACCAGATGTGGAGTATTCGACTTCAGATCACTCGACACTTACCCCTACTGTGAGGACTTTCTTGACCAGACCAATTGTAGTGATGTAACCAGAATAGGAGGTCACTGTCGGATCAACAACTACAGGTCGAGTGTCTCAAAGTTCGTGCTGTGTGATAGCCCGCTGGTAGCTGAGAGGAGCCCTGTTAACCTCTGTGATGATAACCTGGAGAGTGAGTGTTCATCTCCCTCCGGGTCATGCACTGTTCACAAACACCGACTATGTGATGGGGTGGCGGACTGCAGTGATAAAAGTGACGAGGAAAATGATTTCTGCAGTCGCACAACACAAAACGGCTTTAAATGTTACCGGACCTTTAATGCTGACGCCAACATGGAAATTCCCATTTCCTGGATAATGGACCGCCAATACGACTGTATTGACGGTGAAGATGAACAGGGGGACTTGTGGGACTTCTGTGGTAAAGACAATACTGAAAGAGTTAAACCAGGAGACGGGAACTGTCAGGACGTGTTTCTATGCCCTGGTGATTTGGAGAGGCAGTACGTTGAGTTCCATCTTCTGTGTGACGGTGTCAACTCGTGCGGACCTGAGTTTGAGAATGATGTGTGTACTGTTTCACGAGACTTTCCAAGTCTAGACACAGCAGCTGAAGCTGGAAACTGCTCCACTCGAGATTTGTGCCAATCTGTAGAAATACTCGAAAATGTTACCTGTCATATTCGGGAATTTACAGGACCTTTGGGAGATGTATTTGGCGTGAGGATGAGGCTCAATGTCCCAACCATAAAAGTGAACTGTAGCCTTCTGTATGGTGAATATTATGTGTTTTTAAGTTGCATGGATCTGTGTCTTGACTCTAGTTGTCCACTTGAAAACACTGACCCGCCACATTATGATTCATGCCCTGGACAATATCCTGACCGAGTTTACACTCTCGCAAACAATTCGTTTCTCACTTTCGTTACCGGCAGTGAGGGTGAATATGAAAGTACATACTTTCAGTGCGAGAATAACAGATGTGTCAGATATAGTCAGGTGTGTGACCTTATTGACGATTGTGGAGACATGTCAGACGAGAGGTATTGCACCAACCATATGGTTTGTGAAGACACCATAAACAAAACAAACGTCAAACAGCAGTTGATATCTTACTCGCAGAAATGTGATGGTAGATATGATTGTTTTGACCTGTCTGATGAGTGTAATGAGTCCTGTGAAAAGGAAATCCTCGATAACTGGGTTTTAAAGCTGAGTAGCTGGCTGTTAGGCCCCATCTCAGCCATTTTCAATATCATCATAGTGATAAAGGTTGCAATCTCGCTCAAAGAGAGTAGGTCAGGGAGTCAGCTAGTCACCAGGGTTCTTGTCTGTCTCATAGGATTCGGTGATTTCCTTATAGGTGTCTACCTGACAGCCCTGTCTGTATTTGACAGTATAGTCCAAGGCAAAGCATACTGCAGGAATCAAGCAGAGTGGCTGTCAGGCACAGCCTGCTCCATTCTAGGGGTCCTCAGCACAACAGGCTCACAACTCTCCCTTTTCTCGATGACTGTCTTGAGTGTCATCAGAGTGTGGGGTATTGTGGGGACCTCTTTAGCTCTGCCGACTCCGGTGGATAAGAGGGCCGTGGTCAAAGCTATTTCTATCGCCATCGTAATGGTGGTTGCTTCACTAACAGTAGCAGTAACACCATTGGTCTCGGCTCTTGAAGATTATTTCGTGCAAGGCAAGTTTTATGATTCAGGGTACAAAGTGTTCATTGGGTTTCCCAACAAAGTGAAGCACATCAGGGTTCTTCAAGAGTATTTCAAGAATGAAACCATCTCTTCTTCTGCAACATGGTCTGAGATAGGCAACAAGGTAAACACAATGTTCAGCCAAAATCACGGAAGCTTGAGAAGTTACCCAGTTCACTTCTACGGTAATGACGGTGTTTGCATGTTCAAATACTTTGTTAGAAGCGATGATCCGACGAGAAGCAGAGACTCTCCAGCTTCTGGAGAAGCTATCATCGACACTAAAGGAAACAGCATAGTGTGGACCATGTTGGGAGTGAATCTGTTCTGCTTCGTGCTCATTACTCTCTCCTATTTCATCATCAACATTAGAACCAGCCGGTCGTCTGAGAACTCCGGGCAAAATAACAACCCTGAAGCTGTCCGTAAGAACCAGGCCATGCAGAGGAGGATCGCAGCAATAATTGCAACCGACTTCGTGTGTTGGGTGCCCTTTATCATTATCAGTGCCCTTCACAACTGGAGACTTATAGACGCCACATTTTGGTATGTAACCTTTGCCATGATAGTGTTGCCGCTAAACTCTGTGATCAATCCATTATTGTATGACAACACTCTTAGAGATTTTATCAATGGCGGTTTTCGGTTTGGAGCGACGACAATCTCCAGAGGCACTGGTTATTTCAGCAGGACTTCAGCCCAAACACAGCCCACCACTGTGGAGATGGATGTTAGAAAAGTGCAGTGCTCAATTTACAGGAATGGAGTCGCACTTTCTGAGGACATTACCGATATGGAGACGGATGCTTAGATGGTGGGTAATATAACCATAATATATTAATGGTAGTTAGGTTAACTGTAAATATACTCAGAATCGACTTACTCAATTGTTAGATGGTGGGTAATATAACCATAATATATGAATGAAATATACTCAGAATATGAATGGTAGTTACACCCAAATTCCATGGCCGGATATTATGCCAAATTATTAGACGGAGATCGTCTACTGATATTTCTCCGGATATTTCTCCGGTTTGCAGTTCCACGACCGGAGACCATCTACGGTAATTTTGTTGATTCTGTATGATTCTGTATGATTCTGTATGAATTAATCTCCGAGAAATACCCGGAGAGCTTCATCTCCGTCTAATACAATAAACGGAGCCGGAGAATCATCTCCGGAGATGATCTACGGGAAATGGACCTCCGTCTAATAATTTGGCATAATATCCGGCCATGGAACTGGGGTGCTAACTGTAAATATACTCAAAATCAACTTACTCAATTCTGTTATAGAAAGTTCATATTTTAAATCTTTTGGTAATACGGGTCACTTTGAGTTTGATACACTCTGCAAATTGAATGCACGTGATCCTAGCTTCTCACAAAGTTCATGTAAAACTATTAGATACTACCCATTTAATTTCGATTATTAACAGGACGATTGAATATTTTGCACATACAGTTGAACATGTGAGTAACCCCGGCATGCGCAGGGATTATATTTCAATTTTTCCCGCGACGCGCGGGAAAAATTTATAATAATTTCGAGTGCGAAGCAGGCACTATCCGTCGCGGAGTCGAGTCCGCGGCGGAGCCGCCGGACTTCGAGCGGACTCCGAGCGGACTCCGGCGGTGCCGCCGGACTCCGAGCGGACTCCGGCGGTGCTCCGCCAAAATGTATTTACAGTGGACTCGAGTACATTTTGGCGGACTCCGAACGGAGCCGAGCGGACTCCGAGCGGACTTTAAAGTCCGCCGCGGACTCCGAGCGGCTCCGCGGCGGCTCGGCGGAGTGTCCGCCGCGGACTAAGCCACTAGGCGGACTCCGGTCCGCCGCGGACTCCGGCGGAGTGCTTGGCGGACTCCGCCGGACCTCTCCGCCAGACTTGAATCCGGCGGAGTCCGGCGGAGCTTGGCGGACTCCGCCAGCTCGGAAATGACTTGTGGAACAAGCGCGCCCGCAGCGGCGCGAAAGCACCTGGTTAGCTAAATGAACGCGATGTGCCTTGCATTGTAGGATGAAATCCTACTAGCTGACGCCACTCGCAGCTGTGATGTTCGCTGTACGTCAGCGATCGAAATTTATACGCGTATCACCCTTTAAGATGTGCCACCCGACGCGCCACGCAATTTTTCTCGTTGCTCGTCGCACGTCGACGCCCTCATTAAATTTTTGGAGAAAATCGCTCGCCAAAATTTGTTGGACCAGGATTGATACATGTTTCGTATCCAAATATCAGTAGTGTACAACTCTAGTCCTTCGGCGGCGCGCGCTTCGCGCGCGAAAAGTGGCATGCAACGTATGTCAAGACCAGGACGATGTCCTAGCCTGGCAGCTCATTGCGCGGCGCGTCGCAACGAGCTTCGTTGTTCGTCGACGTGCGACGAGCAACAAAAAAAAATTGTGTGGCGCGTCGAGTGGCACATCTTAACGCGACGGGGGATACGCGTATATAAATTTCGATCGCTGACGTACAGCGAGCAGCACAGCTGCGAATGGCGTCAGCTAGTAGGATTTCATCCTACAAGGCACATCGCGTTTACCTAGCTAACCAGGTCATTTCCGCCTCCGGCGGTCGCGCGCTACTGCAAGCGAGAGGGCTATAGTTAGAGCAACACATCGCGCCACAAGCCAAATATTTATCAACATCTTGACTAGCTACGCGGTCCTTTTCCGCATTTCCGCAATGTGCGCTCGCGCTGACAGGCGCTGTGCTCAAAAATTGACGTCGTCAATCAATCAGCATCAAGATTTTAGTTTTACATTTGACCTTTATGTCAAAAAATCTTTGAATTTTCAATCGGTGGTCGATGTTACCTGAGGACCTCAGGCTTCGTCCTTACTTCGTCACAGGACGATCGGAGCTCGAAGAGCGTAGAGAGTGCTGGCTGGCGTCGTCCTGTGATGGTCGACGTATTTTTGCTTGCTAAAAACGCTTCCCCATATGAGATAATATGACAAAAATTGTTTTGGTCGCGCGACCAGTCAATGACATTGATATTTCGCTGCGGACGGTTTGGTGGAGGGTTAGGGTCAACTTTTATACATTATAGGGTCAAAGTTAGGACTAGAGTTGTACACTATTGATATTGTGAGGGTAATGGTTAAGGTTTATCACTAGCGACCTTTTCATCTGACCACAATATTGCAAAATGCTATGTTTTATGTCACGTGACAAATTTAGCCGAGGGTCGGAAGACGGAGGTCGGAAGTCAGTGGACTCTGTTGGAGTCCGGCGGACTCCGAGCGGAGTCCGCCGAGCTGGCGGACTCCGCCAAGCTCCGCCGGACTCCGCCGGATTCAAGTCTGGCGGAGAGGTCCGGCGGAGTCCGCCAAGCACTCCGCCGGAGTCCGCGGCGGACCGGAGTCCGCCTAGTGGCTTAGTCCGCGGCGGACACTCCGCCGAGCCGCCGCGGAGCCGCTCGGAGTCCGCGGCGGACTTTAAAGTCCGCTCGGAGTCCGCTCGGCTCCACTCGGAGTCCGCCAAAATGTACTCGAGTCCACTGTAAATACATTTTGGCGGAGCACCGCCGGAGTCCGCTCGGAGTCCGGCGGCTCCGCCGGAGTCCGCTCGGAGTCCGCCCGGATAGTGCCGCGAAGCACGAGGGATTATTATGAAAATAACCCCGACGTGCTTTAGCACGAGGGGTTATTTTAATATAACTTAAGCGTGCCGGTGTTATGTGTTATAAACCCCTCCGGGTTAGTGCTAGGACCAACAAATTTGACATTTTACTCTTAATTCTAGCTATATGAGATCATTATGGAAAATATGAAATGGAATTGGGGACTACCAAATAAATACAACTAAGGTACTATGACTTTTGAAATTGGCGTTATATCTAAACATTATTCCTCAGTCAGAACGTTGAATGAATATGAATATCGATAAGGGGCGTCGAGTTAAGCCTGGCAAGCGATAAAAGCTAATAATGATATCGTGTCATGAAGTTCATCAAAGTAGACGACTATAATACATGGCTTATATCAAACACGACAAAATTAACCGAACCGGACAAAATCAAATGTAACCGTCGAGACAAGTTTTGGAACTGGTCCAATTAATGTAAGAGTTTAAGTAATGAGTGTGCTGGAGTTTTGCCAGCGCCTGCAATTAGACCGATACGTAGATCGAGTGTATTTATAGTTCTTACGTTAAGCCATAGGTCACGTGACATTTTTTACCAATGCGCGTCGTAGTAGTTAGTCACGTGATACACGTCATCAAAACACGTGACAGTACGCGGTTGAAATTCTCATGGAATATCAAAACAAAACAAATCTTGTTGAGCCGAATTAGCGGGGCGGGATTATAAAAGCTGTGCCGGGGTTATTTATTCAGCGGGAAAAAACTAACAGCGGGAGCCGGTATTATCAGAATCTATTTAGCGGGAGCCGGGATTATCAGAATCTTATTCTATCCCGGAGGGGTTTATAAATTCTATGCTCCTCACCAAACATTTTGTAGGACTCCATAGTGCCTAATAAAACTGAAGATACAAAACACTTGAACGAAGGAAATAACAGTGAAGGCAGAAATAAAAAATGAAGTGAAGGACCGAAAACTGAAGTAGACAGTTTTTGCAAACAAAGATTGAGGATAATTTAAAAAAGAGTGACTCAGAGTCAGTGACTGTTATTGAATTATCTGATTAATATCAACAAGTCCATTTTATTTATTTGATTGTTATTGCTGAACAAAAATGAAAACAACGATTTTCGGAAAAACAATGAAAAGTTAAAAATATTTGGTTTGTATAAAAAGATGTAAACATATGAAGCTAGAATAAAACTTTATCATCAGATAGTCATAAGATTACATTATTCTGATATCGTATACTATAACACTGTAAGTGTAAGTGGTAATTATTAATTAAGTGGTAATTATTATAATGACTGTGTAATTGTTAATCTATTATATCAGCAGTACAATTTCTGTGTATTTTTCACTGTTTATATCGAATGCAAATTCTATTTAATTTATTATTATTTTATAGCTAGGTTATGGATTAGTTTCAAGCTTTCATTCCTTCGGAGAATACTATTTTATTGGTTCATATCTAAGGCTAAATGAAACTTCGAAGATGAAAAATCTTCTCTTCACATTGTGTTCCCAAATTAAATAAATACCACTTGTAGGTCAACATTTCTTCTACAGCATCCATTGAGGACGGTTTCAGCTGTCATTAAATGTTGTATGATTAACGAAAGGCCCGTAGTCACAGGTAAAAACGATAAAAGCACTTTTTTGAGTTTTTGATAGTCAGTTTTTACCGCATCAAAACATATCCACCCCAACCGAAGATGCCTTCTTCACAAGTACTCTACCAGCTACCTATTACCTGTCACTCGCACCTGTAAGTCAACCCCATCCCTTTGTATGTGATAATGTGACTGCACGTGCGAACTGGGCAATGAATTTGCATATGTAACGTCTGAATAGACACGCTTAGTACAAACCACAAACCAACAACATACAATTTTGTAGTTAAATTATTCATGCTCTCATCAAGGGCGGAGTCTTTGGACTCGTTTCCAATTATGATAATATGCTAACCCGTAAAGCTGACTCCTAATCGACCAAAGCCATGATCGTTGCATTGTCCACATCTATACTCTAGGAAATTATGCAGTGATCATGATTAGCCCGGTTCATAAAACAAAATATTGTCAAATAATTGCGGTAATAGGTTTATCTGTTGTTCCTTAGGCCAAATAACTACAAAAAAATTTGAAGCTTCAACTCCAACCGGAAGCACCCCCTGCCACGCCCATTTTTTGCATCAATTTTTAACAGGTAAAAATCTCCATATCATCAATATAGGCATGAAGGAGTGCTTTTAGTGCTCCAAAAGTTTGGGGTCTAATTATAGTAATGGTAAAAAAAGGTTAACAAAGTCTCAAGTCTCCATGACGCTTGGTTTAGGCGCACCGGATTTCTTTTTATTTAGTTTGGTTTGCTACTTTATCATATTTTATCGAACTAAGGTGTAGTATTGCCAGAAACGGAGTTTTATATTAACAGGAAACGATGTAACAGAGTCGATATATTTTAATGTTGCCAAGGGGTGGCAAGTCCCCATACATCGTGGTCCGGTAGTTTCATTGCGTCCTAATATAATTTTTACCCGAAGAAAGGCAATATAATGTTTACCCGAAAATAGGCTATATAATGTTTACCCGAAGAAAGGCAATATAATGTTTACCCGAAGAAAGGCAATATAATGTTCACCCGAAGAAAGGCATATAATGTTTACCCGAAGAAAGGCAATATAATGTTTACCCGAAAATAGGCTATATAATGTTTACCCGAAGAAAGGCAATATAATGTTTACCCGAAGAAAGGCAATATAATGTTTACCCGAAGAAAGGCAATATAATGTTTACCCGAAGAAAGGCAATATAATGTTTACCCGAAGAAAGGCAATATAATGTTTACCAGAAGAAAGGCATATAATGTTCACCCGAAGAAAGGCAATATAATGTTCACCCGAAGAAAGGCAATATAATGTTCACCCGAAGAAAGGCAATATAATGTTTACCCGAAGAAAGGCAATATAATGTTTACCCGAAGAAAGGCAATATAATGTTTACCAGAAGAAAGGCATATAATGTTCACCCGAAGAAAGGCAATATAATGTTCACCCGAAGAAAGGCAATATAACGTTTACCCGAAGAAAGGCAATATAATGTTTACCCGAAGAAAGGCAATATAATGTTTACCCGAAGAAAGACAATATAATGTTCACCCGAAGAAAGGCAATATAATGTTTACCCGAAGAAAGGCAATATAATGTTTACCCGAAGAAAGGCAATATAATGTTTACCAGAAGAAAGGCATATAATGTTCACCCGAAGAAAGGCAATATAATGTTTACCCGAAGAAAGGCAATATAATGTTTACCCGAAGAAAGGCAATATAATGTTTACCCGAAGAAAGGCAATATAATGTTTACCAGAAGAAAGGCATATAATGTTTACCCGAAGAAAGGCATATAATGTTTACCCGAAGAAAGGCAATATCACAATGCTGACAAGCATGACCGTGCCTCTTATATTCACAATACTATTTACCCCCTTTATTAAATTTACCCCCTTAACTATTTACCCCCTCTACTTTTATACCCCCTTTACTATTATACCTGTAGCATGGCTACCGATGAGTAATCCGTTGGAGTAAAGTCTGCCGGTGTCCTGGGTGTGATGGATCTGAGTTAGATGACAGGTTGTGGAGGTGGTAAGTGTTTCTTCCTAATGCCCTGGTATTCTTGTACTACCAGGGCTCCTGCGGTCTGGTACGAGGTTAATTTTATTGTTAGAGATCTAGTGATGTTTGAAATTTATTAACTCCTTTTGGCTACTTCTCCCTTAATTTAGTATTGCATTATTTTTTCTGCTATACAGTTCTTTACGACACTTCTGTTCATTAGAATTCATAATTTTTCACTCTGAACTATAAATCTCTGGCCTATTAACTGTTTCAGGCCAGATCGCTAGGGTTTATAACGGTGCCACTGAAACATCCTGCTGTTGATCTCTTATCCGGATCACCCAGTCTCCTCCCGATCCTCCCACACTTCACAACAAGATGCCATCACTGCCCGCCAACTTTCTCACCTTACTGCAAAACTTATCTCTTGAAGTAAAGCAACACATGCATACCCTCCTTACTCAGAGTATCCTGGACAGTATGAAAGAGGAAAAGCTTGCTTCTAAAATAGAACGTATAGATGAAAAGAAGAAGGAGAAGAAAAAGAAGAAGGAAACTACTGTTCAAAATGTCGTACATAGCCCACATCCGCTCGTAGAGCATGTTCCGGTCCTCCCTGGAATGGACGAAAGTATATTCCAGGAAATAACAGAAGAATTAGATTCAATGAATCGTGAATGCAAACCTAAAAAAGTCCACACCCTATGGCTAAGCCCTTCGTCAGAAAACTACTGTTTTGGAAACGTAGTTAACATTAACAAGCCACATCCCATCAACAACTTCCCTAGCATCTTTAAGTTGATGGGACTTATTAATGACCTCCCTTCCTGCCTCAACCACCAACAACATGGATGCTTGCCTTGTTACTAGGTACAACACTCAGCAAGCTAAGTTAAGCCTCCATAAAGATGATGAAGACCTAATAATATCACAGTCCAGCTATATTTGCACTTACTCAATAGGGGCTCCACGGTCGCTTGAGTTTGTGCTTGATACAACCAAACTCCCAAGTAGAAAAACGCACAACTAGGTCAAGGCCAGCCCGAGAGTTGATTAACGCAGACTTCACCCTCCCTGCCACCAATGGCACACTGAACATTATGAAGCCTGGTACACACCAAGTCATGAGGCACAGGATTGCCCCAGGAGTTGCACCTTCTGACAATAAAATTTGTTGGAGGTATAGTCTCTCCTACAGAAAGTTAACCACACCCTCCTCTTCCCCTTCATCTCCTATTCTTCCCTCTCCTACATCCGACAGTCCTAATAAAGTATCTCCAAAAGCTCCCATCACAGACTCCCACAAACACCAGAAGTCTATCATCCTCATTGCTGGTGACTCCTTTGCTGCCCGATTGGACGCTGATCGCCTCAGTAGAGGTAAAGAAACTGTCACCAACATAGCTAAGGGTGGGCTTAAGATCTCAGCTATACAGAACTCTATTGAGGCCTTTCATACAAAGAACCCTCTTGTGCAGGTAAAGAAACTGTTCTTAAGCTTCGGTGCCAACGGCATCCGGTACTGTACCCAGAGTGTCAATCATCTCAAGACCCCTGTGAGTGACCTTATGAAGACAGCAAAAAACTTTATCCAAATGCACGTGTTTTTGTACAAGCAATTCCACCAGTCCACCCCAATGGACATTAAAAAATCCCTGGTAATGTTTGTGCTATGAATAATTTGTTCTTTGATCGCTGCTCTAGGCATAAACTGTTTTACCTACTAACCGGCTAGTAGCCGGCTAGTGACCACAAAGTGGCTACTAACCGGCTACTAGGCGGTCACTAGCCGGCTATTAGCTGAGCTCTAAAGCAGACCTACTTTCTCGAGGTTCCAATCCGGCTACTAGCCGGCTACTAGCCGGCACTTGAAAAGTGGTCACTAGCCGGCTACTAACCGGCTAGTAGCCACCAAGTGGCTACTAACCGGTCACTAGCCGGCTATTAGCTTGGCTCTAAAGCAGACCTACTTTCTCGAGGTCCCAAACCGGCTTGGAACCTTGAGATAGTAGATCTGCTTTAGAGCTCAGCTAATAGCCGGCTAGTAACCGGTTAGTAGCCGGCTAGTGACCACTTTTTAAGTGCCGGTTAGTAGCCGGTTTCAAGAAAACAACAATTCAAGAAAACAACAATTTTATTTAGTATCAGTTAAAGCAGACAAAAACATATTTTATAAATATAACTAGCGCAAACTTTAGACCATATATCTTAGGGGACTTGGAGTAGCAAGAGAGTGACCAGACAGTATATGTATACCTTCACCAAAAATACGTCGAAATGAACCCAGGGTGATACAGGATCTGAGAGTGCAGACCATAAAGTTTACGCACCCACCCTTGCCTCCTGAATTCTTGGTTGGAAAGACAATTATGCAAAATTGGTCGTTTATACTCCAAGTCCCTTTGTTAATAGAAGTAGTATTATTTATGTCTGGAGTTAGCTTCATTCAATAATAGCAATATCAATATAATCAATATTAATATCAATATCAGACTAAACTATCAAATAAATAAATTATCAAATATCAATTATTAATTCACTCTGATTAAAAAGTTATAAATTAGGATATCTTATATTTAAGAATTACAACTACAAGTTGTTAAAAAGTTAAAAACGCCCAAAATAGATCTGAGATATTTTCAGTCTGTAGTACAATAATGATAGCAATAGTTTAAATTATGTTATGTGCCGCTGCAATTAGATTAAATTACTGTAACTTAAAATTGTTTGGAGTCCAAGTCTCTTTTAAGTCAGCAGCCTGTGATTGTATTAATAGTGCTTTCGTTCTCAATTTTATCAAGTTAATGGAAGTTTCTAGACAATTG